CCCTGGAAATTTGGACCCCCTCCCCCCGATATAGGTCTCTGACTCCGCCACTGAAATCAATGTCAATATGTTAAGGTGAAGTCACCTAAAACATATCATGTCAAGTAATATAAATGTGGTATAATTTTAACTATTCATGTAATAAGTACATAGCAAACATTGTCAATATAATGTCGAGATAAAGTCACTGAACAGGACAATGTCAAATAAAGTCATTGTAATATCATTTTCATTTTCCATGTTAACAATACAACGCAAACCCCTGTCAATATGTTGTCCAGGTAAAATCACCGAAAAAGATAAGGTCAAGTACTGTCATTGTGATATAGGTATAAACAAGTGTTATTTCAATACGCTGTCAACAGCATTACGATTTTAACAGAGAATGAAAACACACACAAATCAATTCCTTTATCTATTTTTTATTGTAATGATATTTGTACAGGCGTAATGATGATAGTTGAATCAACTACATGAGTGCAAAAAAATAATTTAAACGTCTCTCTTAAGAGACTAATAATGAAAAATACATCCTATAAACTTGGCCAGTTACACTAACACCATTGTGCTGTATAGACAGCTGGCCCCGACAAAATAATGAAAACATGAGGTACAAATTACAAATGAGAAACGGCTGGATTAATGTTTTCGAAAACCTGGATTCGAATGTCAATACGTCAGTCACATAAGAGATATGAGCACTTGCATATACCCATTCAAATGCACTCAAATGACGGCATTACAAGAGTCTGAATGACAACGTCAACTCAACTTGGTATGGCTCAAACCAAGCAATGGCAGTTACCATGGGTACATGGAAGAGTGTCATCTCCGTGCGTGATCGTGACGTCTAGAAAACCACAAAGATGTTTCAGAAGTTTTACCTTTGCTATTTCCTACATTAAAAATGGAAGCCGAAGTCTTTATTTAAAAATTAGATTGAAAATACACCACACTACTACTGTTTTATACGTATATATATAACAGTTATTGATTCCGAGTAGAAACAACTACACTTTTAGCAACAACAGCTAAAATTTACAATACTAGTACCACCTGTGAAAAGTGCAAGTACCCTGTCCACCAGAGATATTCTGTAGTTAAAATCATGTATGAATAGGTAGCCACGCTATTATTCAGTTAACATATGTGTATGCAATTTATCTTATTTGAATCATTCATTTTAATAAATAGGTATGGTATTCGTTTTCAACAGCATATTTTTGCTGGTGAATATTTGTTTTATGTTTATATATTTGTAGGTCCCCATCATTTAACTTGAAACAATTTAGAATTAAATATGTAAGTTTTGGCGATTTTAAATAAATAAAATTTAGACTGAATTTCTCGCAACGATAGTGATAAAAAGACAGATGTTACGATTCTACGTACGTTGTAGACAACACTTGACACAATACTGATACAGACCACAACCGTAACTATCAAGTTATCTCCCTTGTGATATTCAATCTGGAGTTATTTCCCCTCGATTCAAATCAAATTTCAAATCCATTACTCCATGGTCGAAATTCACAAGAGAAATTATTAAAAAAAAAATGAAAAATATATCAACATATCTTGTTGATGTTATTGTAATGAAGATCTACAATTCACATCTAGTAGAAACACCGAAATTATCTTTAAAATATATTGTCTTATATAAAAATATATAGAGTCTGTCTTTATTTATTTTATCAAAACAGTTCACCACCAAATCTAAATATGTATACATTTTCTGAAGAGAAAAAATACAGGGCCGACCAGACACTAATGAATATCAATTCACATCATGAATATTTATTAACCATCGCTATTTACATATCACGTGACCACCAATTTTCAGAAAACATTTATCCAGCCGTTGGATCCTATTGAATGTAGAAAATAAATGAATCATATCATTTAAAATGTCTGCCTTTTTCAAAATGACAAGTTTGCAAAAAACGCTTGCATTCAAATATATTGATTGTATAAGGTGTCAATGTAGCATATAAAATTAGAAGGGTATGTAAAATACGAAAATTTGACAATACACAACGTATCCAAACATCACTACAATAGTCAAGTGAAATCTGTTTTCGTGAAAGTTTTTTTTTCAAAATCAAATTGTCATGTCAGCGTTTTGCGCACATTGCCATTATTTACATGAAATGTGAGTAACCATCAAATTGTTTAACAGTAAAAACATTGGATAGCTCACATTCTGTTTCAAGGTACGATCATATCATCATGATAATGTCTCAAGATATACAAGTTCAACTTCCGGAACTATAGAAAACAAGAGCTATATTGATTTAAGAATAGCTTAATCTCGATTCATAACAAAAGCATTGTTGTATTTAGGCGGCAAGAGATGATAAACGTATTTACAAATGGTATATTCTCAACAGGATCCACATAGACGCAATGAGCGAGATGGGGATAGGTAAGTTATTCCATGATATATATAATTGAGCTTGTGAATTATATAAGCGAGTTTGTTCTTCTATAGTGAATATACTAGTCTACGAATATACAGGAATTTACTAATCTAACGTTATCTAGTCTACGTTGAAATAAAGATTCAATTACGAGTATGTACTCATCACATGGCACAGGAATAATGTAATTATGCGCCATAATCAATTGACATTCAATACATGATCAGTAATAGACATTTCACATGCGATATTAAGTAACTGACATACTTTAATCAACAATGTTGAAAGTTGCCCAATCTAACATGTGGTAAAAGACAGATCTTATACCAACAAAAAACAGCCAATAATATGACTTACAAACAAAGCTGGCTTGTAGATAGACCAAATCTAGGCCATGAAAATTTGTAACGTTGAGATTGTTCGTCCTCCGCTGCAATAAAGGGTTACAAAACATATTGCACCAATTTGTTGTTAAAATAAATATTGACTAGAAGATGTAACAAATTCGGGATACATATTGCACATAACCATTTCTTACAACAAATTTAATAAATTAAAAACAATGAGAAATGCCTTTCGTTTTCAATAAATAAAACAATTAAAACATTTGCGGATTTCAGAATAACAAGAATATCTACAGTGATTTCTAAACAAAACCGTATCTAGCTTTACCCCTACCTGTATCCATACAAACGGTACATTACCATCAATTTCACTACAACATAAGTTGGAAATAATCGTTAAGTGGACTTATAAGTAAATGTTGATTGTCTCCAAAATAAAAAATGAACTTCACGCGGGAATAAGTGAAAAACGCCATATTGTTTTCTAAATGCAAAAGCAGGTCTTATTTTCTGTTTACAAAAAATAATAATTCCAATGTGATAGGGGACAATTAATTTTAAAACAATATGGTGAGATTAAAAGAAAACTACAAAATTAAGCGTCACTTCACGTATGTTATCTGAACTATCTCGATTAAAACTTATACAAAATTTACTTGCTTGGTTATAAAATGTCTCATTTTAATAACAAAGAGATCTAGACTAACATTTCACGCCGAACAATAAACAAAGAAATTAAAAAATTGTATGATTCGTTTATCTTCCAAAATGTATATGGCATCAATTTAATCTTTCCGGATTTATCAATTTCCTATTTTTTACACAGAATAACGATATTTCCGGATCGTGAGTTTCTTTTGTTCTTATTTTCTGGACTGCTGATAACGAGCTTCCGTTACAAGTTTTCGTCTTTATTAAAATAACCGACAAATCGGGAAAACGTTTACAGAAAATAGTTAATAAACCTTAGCACAATACCGTCAACCACAAAATTTATATAATTTTAAAGAGAAAAAAAAACATGTAGACAAATTTACAATCAATGTTTATCTACCCAATCAAAAGGATGCTAGTTTCGTTCATGATTGTCAAAGGCACCGTTTGTAGTATGAAGCAAAAATAGTTTTCTGAACTTTTTGTTAATTAGCACAAGGTGCGCATGTGACAAAAATATATTCATTGGGAACAATCAACTTATAAATAAAGGAAAAACAACTATATCAGCAATATCATAAACAATAATTACGTTGTTGATTTTCATAACTGATATTTGTCCACTCTGACGCGATTCAACTTAAATCATCACGGAAGATACGGGAAATTGGTTTGAAACAGAAGACATCTTTTATAAATTTGAAATCTTCTAAAGTCATTTAATCAATCCCTTTATCTGTTTACAGTTCTTTTTAACGGTTTTAAGTACCTGACATTTGGGGCATATTACTTCACTTAATGAAATTTAAAAGCACTTTTTCAAATAATTCTATTTATAAATGTTTCAATGAAAACTGTACACAAACACAATTCCACTTTCGTAATAGTTCGTTAGAGTTTTATCTACAGTACATTTCTTTAAAATGTTGATCATTGTCTGAAAATAACTGAGAATAACCAAAGTAGATTTTCTTGTTAGCCAATCAAAACGACAATACGTAATCCATTCATCTCTGCTATACAAGGCAATAACAAATTAATCATTCTTCTTTTAGTCATCCATATGATGCAGATTTACATATCAACAAACTCTACGAGATCTTCAATAACACTGATCCAATTTTATGAAAAAAAGTTATCCTTGAAAAAATGCTTGATTTGAAAGTGGGATTATTAATAATAATAATATCTACAATATTGTTATGTATGTGTGTTCATAATAAAAACATATTAAAACATTTTTTCTGACATCAAGCAATAAATACCTATCTACGTATTGAGATAAAATATATACAGATATTGTGTTCTCATTCACACCACTCTAACTTTAAATTAATTAAATTAACTAATCAATCAATTAATTTAAGAAAAACTGTAAAATAACGAATTCCTGATAAAAAGTTAGGTAACAAATTTGTTTACGTGTCCAACATAACAACCATGTGTTCGGCCAAACGATAACATAGAACAGCTTACAAATAAATAATAATAGTTTATATAACAGTTATGTACGGAAAACGAAACGGTACAAATTTACCAATTAACCAATGCTTGCTAACACACTAGTCTCGTTTAACTCATGTTTTGACGATCACTTAATGAACAGTTACCAGATTTTCCGAAACGTCATACCATATTTAGAAGCTCTCAATGTGTCGTCAAAGATAAATTCAAATAAAACGAATTTCAAAAAAAGATGATATTAAAGACAAGATCGATAGTTATATGAAGAACGTCAGAAAAGACAGACAATAAAGAAAATGGCATTTGAACGATTTCTTATGCAGTTTTAAAAATAGGACCAAACCGTTAATTCGATCTAAATTGTGAAGAGTCTGAAAATTCTTTGAATGACGCAAATACAATATGGCATGGCTTGGAATATAATGTTAAAACATTCTTTAACACTTTCACCGCTGTAGACCATAATGGACTTATCCAGATCAATACATAGTAGAGTTTACTAAGGTTACATAGGGGTGAAAGGGTTAAGTAATTGTCAAGAAATGAGTCTAATGGACAAGTGTGATAGAAAGCAACTGAAACATTCTAGAGGTATTCCCTTCTTACGTACAACAGAAACAATGTAAGAAAACATGTTTATCCATTGAATATCATTAAGAAAATTTAAATATTATTTCCCCATCCTAGTTTCCTTCGTGATATATCCCCAGTGTGAAAATACTCAAATTGAGTACATACATTTACTTTTTTCCTGTTCAAGGTTAAGATTTTTTCCATTATATTATCCTGAATTAATTATTTGATTATTTTCTTATATTTTTTTCCATTATAATATTTGAAGTATAATTCCGATTCATTTGTAGTGTTTTAACTAACACGTATGCCTTTTTTCTGTCCTAGAACGTTACAATTGGCGTGCATACATCACTTGAATTCATTCAACTTACATTTTCCCTTAAATGAGAGCACTATTTGTGTGGTAGTCAGTATACCATTGTTTTATTGTGAAGAATTTCACGAGATGGAAAAACATGAAACTGTGCAGAGAGCATATGTCAGCAAAATGTTACTAGGAAAAGCTAAGAAATCTATCTATTGATATAAACTATTTATACTGCAGATGTTCATTATTTGATACAGAAAGGCTCCTCTTGGGTGAAACGTGTATATATTTTAAAACTTGATGCAAAATTGTTACGGAATGCAAAATTGTATTGACTATGTACAAAAAATTATCTTCTTTCTCAATCATCAGAATCTTTGTCCCCTTTTTGTTAAATTAAAATGAGAAAAGCCATTAATATATACCTGACACATCACATTTAAGTGAAATACAACATTCATTTTTCGTGATGTCACAGAGGTCAAATATAACCTGATTGTGATGTCACTTAAGACTCAGGTTACATTGAAACCCGGTTGTGATGTCACATCATATACCGATCACCCTTCATCCCAGGAGCGATGACGTCACTTATTATATATATATACAAATATCTATGTATTAATGGTCCAGAAGAACAGACATAAGTGTGACGTCATGCTGGTTAAAATGAAAGGTGATCAATTACATGAACTAAAACATCCTACTGTCATGGTCATCTTGACAACACTGAATGCTTCCATGGTTACTCCACGCACAACAACCAATAGGAAAACGTCTCTCATTTTGGAAACTTTTGTAGAAACATTATACTCACGGACACTTTCTTTGACAATTACTACTAAACGTTTATCGTATATAACACCGTGTCACAGATTTAAATAGAATTTAAAATGGAATGTTTTGAAAAACTGAATCCATCAAAATAGTAAAGGGGACAAAGACCTGAGTAACAAAAGAAATCATAAAAATGTAAAATATATAAATATGATAACATGTTATAATCAATTTAATCGAAGATAATAACTTCGTATTCTCTTTTCATCATAAAGATCCAATGAACTAAACTAATTCATAAAATATGTAATAGAAGCGAGGTGGGTCATCCTAGCAGGCTAGTATGTAATTATATATACAACATAATTAGGCATTGCAAAGGTACATTCTCGAACCCTTTTCCTACAAAGTATGTCTACATGAATATGGTGTTTCCGTATTTACTCAAATGCACCATTAACTTTTATCAACTAATCGTGTAGTTTATTTGGCGGATGGTCTTTCAATAACAGACACATATGCTGTTTGTGTAAACCAATCATGGGTGAATAATTACACACCCCATGTTTTGCCTTTAATGAACTGGCAGTAAATATAGTGATGATCCTTCAAAATACATGTTAAATGATTCTCAGATCATACAAATTTCACGTATGTCATTCAGTTATATGTGTGTGACACATTGAGTAGAAAAGGTGCTCGCAATCTACCTTTGGATGCCTACAATATCAACATTTTCATTGACAAATGGTGGGCGTTTTAACATTCAGTAAATTATTTCAATAACAGTATGCAATTAAAATAATCATACCAAATTGTAATATGATATATATATATATACACGACTAATTTGTTTTCTAGACTGTTCAGCAATCGTATATAGGCTTTCCCTAAGCCTCTGTGTGTTAGCTTTAGTCTGATCCCAAGTGACTGTACTGACTTCGGGAATAATTTGATCTGTCATGAAGTTGCCTCCTTGTTCGTCTTTTACACCACACCTGAAACGATATAAAAATATAATCATTTGTTTATAAAGTTTCTTTTTAATATGTACATGTCAACGCTAACAAAAAGTAGTATATCTAACCTAGCATTGGTAATCGTATATATACAATGCAGCTTTCCGAAATAAAGTGAATGCATTTTAAGCATAACAAGACTGTTTTGTATATTTGGAAATCCATTTATTCGGATTGCAACAATCCGAATGTTTTTTTCTGATTTGATTTAACCCCAAATTTAGCGAAAAGTTTTTTTATTCTTTGTTTCTTTTTCCCTGCTTAGGACGCAAAACCTGTTAATATGGACTTATTTTGAAAGTTTAAAATAAATATAAGTCGACTTCATTGGAATCAAAGTTTCCATTTTAACAAAATGATAAACAAAATTATTTCAGAAGTTTTCGCATGATATACACTAAATATTCCAACAGTTGTTCAATACAAAAATGAATCAGTTCGATTCGATTTTGTATGAAAACAAAAACAAAATATTTTATATTGTTTTTACAAATGCACAGTTAGCCGACATCTTGGTCAGTAATACTGCGCTGAACATACACATATATAACCTTTGTTATACCAGTATAGAAGAACATCTCTCTCCGGCAAACAACTTGCATATATTTTAACAATGCCATACACTGTAAAGTTTCCATGTCAATTCGGTACCATAACAGGTTTACAATTTTAACAGATCATTTAAAAGATCGATTAAGCAATGATTATATCTTATATACAAATTAAAACTTCTTATTCTTGTAAGTTATTAATTGTCTGGAATCATCATTATGGGGATACCAACATTACAATATCGTACTCGTCTATTTTCTAATAAACAGACTGAAGAAAAGGGTTAAAAAGTCGCATGCAAAGAACCGATACAATATTTAAACTATCACAAATTTCTGCACAACAATTTAACCCTTTCATACCCCAAATACTGAATATACAGCGGTTTTTATTTGGGGTGGTTCCTTCGGCATTTAAGGCTGGCTAATATTCAAACGTATTTGAAACGACAACTATTGTTTCTATAGAGAGAATGTCCATACACAGGTGACTGATGACGTTGTATACCCATTTGAGTGTGTGATTGACAAAATTTGATCTACAGTCCTCCGCCGGTAGGTTTTACTTGAAAATTCACTAACTGGAACTGATATATATATCATAATCAATCACTAGGAACTGGAATTTTTTCTCCCATAACATCAAACGTATGCAAAGAGGATGGATTTTGATTGGCATCGATTTGTGTTTTTTTCGTGATGTTATCTGATCGTACAAATCTTGAGATCGGATAGAACTAACATCTAGTTATGGGAAAACAGCATATTGAACTTAATGTCGTAATAACATCTAGTTATAGGAGAAATATAATCTGGAACTCATATCATGACAAAGTCTAGTTATAGGATAAATAGAAAATGAAACTGTTTGTCTCCATCAAATTCATTTGATTTCGTAGTCATTGTCCTTTTGCACATACCTATTTCTTTCTAAGAAAGGGGGCGAAAACGAATAAAAATAAACTAAATGTAATCTTCCAATTGAGGTTATGACTTTACTTTCCTGAAAGGGCAGAAAGGGCTAATTGATAAATGTTCAAGGTGATCCAGCAACAAGCCAAAAGTGTGTTAAGCAAAGAGTGAAGGTTAAAACTGTTTAATTACCAATAATGTAATGATAACGAATATAATAACAACGTTCCCACAACACTCTCATGTTCACTGTTCACACAAGTATTAGGAGAAAATTACAGCCATCACAGAATCAATACCTACACTTCCGCATTATACAGCCAACATACTAAACGGGTGTTTTAGAACGTTTAAATTACGCCTGGGAATATTCATATCTTTTCCAGTATGGAACTTTGCGGAAAAAATGTTTGGGTTACTTGATGTATTCGTCCAAAAAAAAACAAGTTACGCTTGTATACCTGTAACTCCACCATTTAACACCCAACCCCTTTTTTAACTTTATAAAAGAAAAGAAAAATTGAAAAAAAAAAATCCATGATATTCCGAGTTAAATTTGCAGTTTAAGTGTGTTTCGATAAGCAAGACATTTATCCAATCAATAAAACATTTTGCAAATACATTCCTTATTATTTAAAAATAATTCTGAGTTTCGATTTTGTTTAATGACTTCCGGTGTGTTACTTTCAACACCGGTGTTTGATACATTAACTGTTTTGCGGAAATGCAGACACCACGTCATGAAACGTCACCTCAATCAACATTTAATTGTTGAGTTCACGGTAATTAAACACACTGTATGCTACGGATTTCAATTGATTTTTCAACAGTTTCAACTGTTTTGACAAATGTGTCCTATTATCTTAGGACTTATTATATTCAGTAATATTTGATTGGATATTAATAAAAGACCCAATGAAAATGATACAGAAATAATGGATACTAATAAAAACAAAATGTATCAAAAATATTTAATACAATCGTTATTATATAGTCCAAATCATTGAACCTAAAGTGATGAAATTGAAGATTTTTTTTCTTTCTTAATTACGATGTATTTGTTCTCAAACATTTAGTCTCCAAAAAAATAAATAGAAACAAAATCGTAGCATACAGTAAAACAAAATAAAAAATGGATTACAATCAAATCAGAAATTCAACTGTGGTAGCTAAAGTGAATATGTATAATGATGGCAATTGTAATAAATACACTAAAATATGTAATAGAGAGCACAATCACATGATGTTGTCAACCAACCAGAAAGCAACACGCTGGCACCAATTATATTGTTACTACACTGAAAGAAATCTACACATTGTTTACAAAATATCGCCATGACAACTGAACACCTTTAACCCAACCAGCCAATCACTTACTCCGACACGTTGAGGTGGCTATACCTTACAACCAACCAGGGCTCAGTTCTCTTAGGAGAATGAGAGAGACAGCAGGATGCTAAAGAATATGGTACAGAAAATGTGTATGGGAAATTGTTTAATAGAATAGGGATGATAGCAAAATCCTCGGTAGTCTAAAAATAAGTATGCATGAATCTTGAAATCAATATTTTGCTAACTTTTGTCCTGAACATTTCTATGAATACCATGGCCCTGATATTTGGATATTTAATTAATGGTTGTTTTTAATAACAAATCAATACACGAACTCGTATTTTAGAAGTATACATTAATTACACTTGTTGTACTCTCGACATAAAAGTGTCATCATCATATCGTTATATCTTGTTCAAACTGATATGGGTGATTCTATTCATTTCATGTGTACATAGGCTAATGGATAATATTTATAAAGTTTCGATAAAACTGAAACTTTAATTCTTCCTAATAAAACTTTTTAGGATAAATTTTACATGATGACTGTTATAAATATTCAGCATTTTTGGAAAAATGATTTTTAACATATATTTAAAAAATATATATTTTCAATATGCATTTCATTAAGAATGGATTGCAAGTTGACAAGTAACAAAAATACAATGTATCATACTAACAACGCCTGATGAACATGTACCATTTTACCACGTTCTCTGTAGATAAAACGCACTATGATTCAAACATTATCATACCACGTGTCCGGTACATTTTTAAAAATAAACAAATACGTTGATGTCATCTTTATTATATATGGTTTATGCATTGAAAGTATACCAACTGACAAACTATTCCGGATAAGTAGATTATGGATCAGATTATGGATCGTTCAGGGGATATAATATTTCACAAAAAAGCTGAACTTACCAGATTATCTCCCTTCATATAAGATTCTTAGTATGGTCTGTTAGCATCTTTTGGGCGCTTGAGTTGAACTTTTAGGCGCTTCATTCCTATCTGGAAACCATTCATCGCCTGAATAGCGGCTTGTGCACTTGTTGGGTTATCGAAACTCACAAACCCTAAAAAAATAAAATCAGTAATATTATATACAGAAAATTTCTAATACGCTATCAATGTAACAGTGAATGGCTTCCTCGTCTTCTTTTTTACATTTTTCTTACAACTTGATAGTTAAAATCAAAAAATACAGTTATCGTTAACAAAGATAATATTTAAATCCCATTTTTACGACATATATCATAGTTCTTTTCATGATATTTTACTGACGTAGATACAATTTTTAACATCAGAACAACTGAATTTCATGGAACATTGCTTAATTTGAATTCTATATCGAAGTTTGTGTGGAATGGAGCTTGACTTTTTCAAATTCAAAATTTGATTGGGGATTTTTAGAGAAACGAAATTTAGAGCCGTGTTCCAGATCCGTACTATTAATTGAGAACTGACAACTTCCTCTTTACACACAATAGCCTGTATTGGGAGAAATTTCATTGATGTTTACATTAGAACGTGTACTCATGGCCTTTTTTTTAATCGATTTATATGATGTATTCAAGTCTTCAATTCAGTGGCATGGTAACATAAACAGCAATGATGTTATCCTTCCAAATATGAATCTAAGATGGGGAGTTGATAAATTAACTCTTCTCGGGATAGATTTCCATGTAGATCTTTACAAAATACCTAAAATAAACTTTGATACAAAAACAGCTAAACTCAAGCTCACGCCTATTGGTAGAATTAATATTATTAAATCTTTATTAATATCTCAGAGAGATCATCTGTTTATTTCCTTATCTAATCCATCTGAAAACTTTATAAAACAGCTCAATTCTGTTCTTTTCATTTTTTTAATGGAATAGCAAAACTGATAAGATTAAACGGGACATAATTATTCAAATTTATCAAGAAGATGGGCTTAAAATGGTTAATTTAATGTCTTTTATTGAAGCTCTGAAAATAAATTGGATAAGAAGGTTTTTTTTAGATCAGAAGGTAAAGGGGTAAGCATTTTAAAATCTTGTGTTAATCCTCATATCTTGGCTTACTCAGGTAACGAGTACTTAAATGGAAAAAAAGAAAGTGCAAAAATGTGTTTTAGAAAGATGTGTTTAGAGCATGGTATAAATTAAGAGCAAAAGAGGAGCTGTTTAAAAATGGGAACTTTTATCTACTTAAGACAATGGTATAATAAAATAGTTTATGTTGGGAATGAAGTTGTTTTTTATCGTACGTGGTTTAAAAATGGGATTTTGATAATTAATGATTTGTTAAAAAACAACACAGACTACTCTTTCTGGTCTTTTTACGAATTTTGTGATCTACATGGTACAATTACTAACTATTTAGAATATCATGGTTTGATAACAAGTATAAAGAATTATCTGAAACAATATAATTTGCCAAACAAAAATGAGATATAACCAAATATACCGTTACATCTTGTAAAAAATTTAAAGAAGAAAAAGCCATCTCAAGACTTCTAAAATATGCTTATCAGAAATAATGCATCAATAACTGCTCAAACAAAATGGGGGACTATATTCGACTATAATCATGAAACTTGGGGGAAAATATATGCTATTCCTTTCAGGGTAACAAAAAATACAAAATTGCAATGGTTGCAATTTAGAATTAATCATTATTTTTTAACAACCAATTCTTATTTATACAAAATTGGACTTTTAAATAACCCACACTGTGTTTTTTGTATCATAGAAAGGAGACAATTACCCACATTTATGCGAATGCAGGGATGTACAAAAATTTCTAATTTCTGTTCCTTTCTCACTAAATAAAGAATCAATGATCTTTGGTTTTTTCAACCAAACTGGAATGTATACAAGAATTGATAACGAAGTTACTCTGTTCATTAAACAATATATATGCAAAACCAGATGTTTTCATAAGTCACTTAATGTGACGGCATTAGTCAATTCGATTCAAGTTACTATAAGGTTCAGAAATATATTGCTCGTGGTAAAGGGGAACAATGTCTTAGAAGATTTATTTTGAATGGGAAAAATGGTTAAGATTAGTAGAACTTGGCCTCACCTAACCCTGAGTCTTATGACTATTTATATTAATTAGTAGGTGTTATTATCCTGCTTACTCCAACCCGTCCTATTCATGTTTACAAGCAGCATAAACTAAATTGGAATCTCACTTGTCAATGAATATTTCCTTACCTATATTTACCACTCTTTCTTTTTGTATTTTACATTGTCTCCTGTCGGTATCTATTCAATTAGAATAAGCAGCAATGACTGCTGATGCAAGTATACATCAGTACAGTGTAAGTCATATTTGTGTTTTTTGAACGATGCAGGCTGGGCCAACTTATTACTATCTGTCTTTGATGGTTACATACAGGAACAAATATACTTTAAAACAAAATACTGACAAAGGCTCACAGCAGTTATTTTTATCTATTTTTATTTTTACTTTTACTGAAATTGTCTCTCTTAGTGCTCTTTGTCCATTTATTTTGTCTCTCTATGTGTGAAAGTGCGTGATAACTGAATGTGTCTTGGTGATTGTATATAATCGGATGATGAGGATGAGGATGATGATGACGAGGATGATGATGATGATAATATCAATAGTCGATGTGTGAATGTGTGGATGGGTGTTAATGTGATGTTCTGTACAATGTACATAAACAGAAATATCAGTAACATTAGATTTATCATTACACCATACAAACAAATGCATGTTCATAGTAATAATTAGATTGAAGATATAACATACCATACTAGCGACTGCCAAGTACTTATGAAAAACACATTGCTTACAGCTCAAACCAAATATCGCTAAACATGATGTTTTATTACACCGTGAAAGAAGGGCACAGCTTACCAGTGATGCACCAAACCTTTGCTTCTTGTTTAAATTTGGGACCAACTGATAAAGCAAAATGTCTCGGGAGTCTTGGCGGAACGAAAAAGTTAAGTTCATAATTAGAACGAGGCTAGTGGTACTTACCGAAGCACTTGCTCTGATTGGTCGCCCTGTCGACGTACACTTTTGCACTGATCACGTTACCGAACGGCATAAACATCTGGGCCAGTTCGGCGTCCCCAAACTCCTGGGGAAGATGATAAATGAAGAGGTTGCATCCCTCGGGTCCTGCAGGACAGAAATGGGAGGTTAATTTATATTCACTTCAATTAAGTAAATATTCACATCTCGTTTAGTTAGCAATTAATAATCCAAATTTTTAAAGTAAACTTGTCCAACAAATCCAGAGGTAACACATTTTTTTCGCGGGGTTCTAATTTTCATGACTTTTGCTATGTAACCCGATATAATGACTACCGTTGTAACTCTGCGAAAATTACGGACACAAAACAAAATATTTTTACAGTCTATCTTTTTCATGGAACGAAATAATACAACTGCATTTGTTTATCTGATAGAAATAGCCAACGTCAGTGATATGCAGTAGTATTCAAATACATCTGTAGCAAATAAATGAAGCACGAAATACAAAATACATACCTTGACCTCCTATGTAAGCCCCTGAAAGAAAAACAAATATTATCATTATTTCATTTATGTGTCTAAAATACATCAAACACTACAGTCAATGGTATCAGTGTGTCTCGTCATTATACCTTAGCATACTGTTCGTCAAAACGTAGCAAGAACAACCGGTAAACGTCAACCGAAAAGTTCGGCAAATTGAATGTTTACATTTTTGGATACATTACGTTCTGACTAATATACACCTAGTGTGTCCAAACATGCAAATATAAAAATTGTCGATATTTGTATTTGACTGCCGTCGTTCAATCTCCAATTACATGTGTATAGTTTTGCGGTAATAAAGATTTATCGCAAATATTTTTAACAAAATATTAACAAGTCTTCATTTTCAAGAAAAACACGAAACATTCCCTAGTGATATTGAAATAAGTATTTAATAAAACATATCTAATGGTACAATCGTTTTTGTAAAAACTCGTGTGTTATATTGTCTTAACGATTTTATTTTCAGTAAGACCCAGAGCTAAATGTCAGGTAATTGAATTTCACACTTTGTTTTCTGAGGGGCTGCTATTAAAAGCCTGACCCCGGTCTTTATGCCTTGTGAACCCGGAATGGTGAAATGAACATACCTTCTTTTTGAGTAGCGGGAATAAGTGTGGCATGCTGCGCCAAAGCCTGCTGCATTGTGGGGTAAGCAGCCGGGTAAGCTGTAATATAAATATGTTGATGCTAACTAATATCTTTGTGACGTCACTGGAAACAATGAAATGACGAAACGATTTAAATACGGTCGTTTGCAAATACATAGAGAGAGCTTTATCATGCAGCTACGAAAACATGGTTTGCGATATTGATCTTATATATATATATTTGTATACATAAGATATTGACATTTTCCTGATGAATATGAATTTGATAGTCATTCTTATAAATGAATGATAAGATGATTATAGTGTCACATTTCAGTTCTGTAAACAAAGGTAGTTAATAGAGTAATCCAAACGATCAAATTTCGACTTTTCCATTAAGCTAAGGGTACTGTCACGTTAAATTAAATCATTACCATGCCAATAATGAAATACATTCATTCAAGACATTTTCAAAAGAAATACGTCATACAAGTTACAAGTTGCCATATTTTTGACAGAATTGTAGTTGTTCGAAGCTTGAATGTTTAAAAATAGAAAGGAAAACGAACAACCAAAACTGCCGGGGTCGAACCGGGAACTTTTACATTACAAAGCCTGCACCTTACCAATATTGCCATACAGGAATTATACACGCAAAACATCAAATGGGTGTCCAATTCATGGGCCATAAATCATATGAAACATTGACACGGAAAGTTACCTTTAGCCAGAAAAAAAATCTACATTTCTTCATCTTTTATAAAGAGGGGGTTGTGCTCAACGTCAATAAGACTGAGAGAGTGGAACTCTTCTTTGCGATTCAAACTGATGCAATGGTACCCTTTACCTTAACCCATTCACCCCTGAAGACATATTTGAACTCTTCCAATTCAAAGCTTGGAATAGTTCATTATTAAATTCCAGTGGTGAATGCGTTCAGTAAGGTGTAAACAATTGTCTCACCTATTCCCGCGTACGGCTGGACACTAGCGTATGCTTGTAGGGGATCACCATTGGCCATAGCTTGTGCTGCAAAGGGCAGAAAAGTGTTACGTGCTAAAAAATGAAGAGAAAAAGGAGAAACACTGTCATAACTCGATTAGTCGTTAGTAAAAAGGTAAAACGAAAGTACGAGCATTTCTCTATCATAATATATCTTAAGTGACAACGACGACATACATGTCAGTTAGTAAAATACATATTTAGTATAAAATAATGCAGTTATTTGATAGTTATAGCAAATTGCGACAAATTTGTTACTTATACGGTTAAAGTTTACATGTGTTGACTATGGGGAAACAAAGCATGCAGTTTTACTGAACAAATATCACGAGCACCGAGTTTGAATTAGAGTACTATAATAATTTGTTAAATCTGTTTTTACTTGAATTAATGGGAACACACCTTGTTATGAATTAATCTTAATCGGATTCTACCATTTCTAAAGAATATTTCATACAGCTTTATACACATATTACGTCATTCACATTGATTTGTTACAATATGTAATATATTAATAAAACATGTATAAATAACCAGTGCCCCAAATCGAAGTGCAAAAATACTTATCATGATATATACAGTTACAATATAGATACCAAAGCGAAACTGAGACATCGTTGGGTAAATATCCTATTAATTACATACTTAATTATCAGTTAATTACTAAATATAGAATACTAAATGAAGCATATATTGATTGTTACAGATATAACTAGTTTAAACACATGGCTATAGTTGTGCTACTCCATATTCATGTTATATCTATATTTATGTAAAATTATTGAAATATTATTATAATTATTTCAAAACGAAATTCACACCAAGAAACTTGTGTATTTGTTGTCCATGAGTTGGACTTTGTACTTGTTATGATCTATGACACAATAGTGAGGTCTTGAAGAACTTACTTAAAGAAGTACCGTTATCATTCGGGTAATTCTGAATAACTAAAATATACAATTTTCAATATGTTTCTTTGGTATATCGGGGCACGAGAGGATGAATTCCCTATTTGCGGAGGACATATTACTCTTCAAACCGTACGAGTTTGTCCCCTTTTCAATAAATATTTTTTTCTGTATTGTGTTACATTTAAAGTTTATGACGCATTATATAATTATATGTTTTAGAATTTAACCCATTTGAGAAACAGCCTGATCGATAATTAAAGCCTATAATATTTGCTATAAGTTAAGAATTCCATGCACAATGCATTCCATTCCCTTATTATTTTCTTACAATCTAAGTCTTAAGACAATAAAATGTACCAATATTATAAAGGGAAGTGACTCGTACAATGGGGAGATAACTCTGTATTTCGCAAACAGGGAATAAGTGAGGAACGGACAATATACCTGGTAAGATGTAGGCAGAGGTACCGTTATCTGGAAGGAAAATATAAACAACATAAGGTCACGTGATCACATTTTTTTTGTCTGGTTTAGCACGTAAATGATCACATCACCATAATAACCTATTATTATTATATACATATAAAAGATAATTCATTTGTAACGAAAACAATCCGATCGTACAAATGTAGCAAAATATTAGATAGCTATAAAATGTGTTGGAAATCGCAATGTTTCTTTATAACTCAATGATGTCTCAAATTTGGTTGTGCACAGAACGAAAAACAAACACATACAGACACAACACATATACCCCTGCATACAATTGGTTCAGTGTTGTATAACTCCACACCAGATAATCTAAACATCATGATTGAATATCCATAACTTTTCGTGATGGTTTATATGTCATATACGCTATTTAAGGTTCCTATTGTGTCAATGTAAATTTGATAAATCTCCTCTTGTTATTTTTCATATATTTTCATTTAGTTTGAATATCATTTACATTATTTCATTAATGTTACGACAGTCGAAACACTGAGTAGTGTATATTCTATTTTGTTTTAAATAGAGAAGTTATCATTTCGCTTGTACATTCATCCATAATACATGTAAACATGATCTCTGTACACAAAATTGTACACAACATTTGTGTACGTGAACACAACATAAGTGTACGTGTACACAATATTTGTATACGTGTACACACTATTTGTATACGTGTACACAATATTTGTATACGTGTACACATTATTTCTGTACACAACATATTGTAGAAAAAATCTATATTTGGACACACATTTGTGAACATTTCATTCGTACACAAGTTATTGTAAACAACACATTTTGCACACAACACACTGTAAAATACATACAAAACACACAAAAAGAAAGTTTGCCGTGATCAGCTAGTACTGTATCGCAAAAACCAAGCCCGGCTGTTAAACTCAGAGTTTATCAGAGAGTTAGTAACACAGCATATATTATAACCGTGACACTCTTGTTGTTGAATTGCTTTCAACTATAATAATCATGATTCATATTGCTATACATACTATATTCGCATTCAATCTTGCAAATTATTTCTTTATGACTTATAGAAATATATGAATTTCCGCCGCATGTAATTCGCAAGAATAAGATAAATATGAAGAAGTAATTTTCTACACGGAATTTTCTTATATTATCTATGAATGATAGTTTACTTAATCAGCTTATTACATTATTAACGTATATCATTTAGTAAAACAATATATGAAAAATGTTTCGATTCATGATATTTACTCCTGGATAATTTAACGCGAAAGTACGCATCTATATATATTTAAAATAAGTGTTTCAAAATTTAACACCATTCATTTAGTCTAGTTTAAATAACATTTTTGAAATTTCCTCTCAGATCACTACAATTCTTCATATATTAAAAAACAAAAAACAAAAAAACAAATCAAAAATTAACAGCCGGACTTAATGCTTTCCGATAAGCTGTAAATAGCTTCAGTGATAAAACTTACCTGCCTGATGGCAGATTGTTTTTGCTATATTCAGAATTTTGTTTCTCCATAACCGGAAATACGTGTTCAGGATTGATTTATGTAAAGTATCATTACCCTAATAACACGTTAAGGCCAACCATGTATTGGTGACATCCCAATTAAAACTAAACATATAATACGGATGCCACGATATTTAAATGATTAACTACTGTATAACGGGGACATTTCGCTCAGTAAAAGAAATCGCCCTTTGCCAATAAAAACAGTGATGCTGAGTGTTCATTTCGCCCTTCACAGGTAATTTCTATATAGTGTATGTTGCTTTATTCGCTGTCATGATAAAGTAATAAGAGAGGGCGAAAAAAGACGTAAAGTAAAATTGCAGCGAAAATTTCAAGGTATGCAGCAGATACTCAGAATCATTCACGTTTCTGCATGAATCAAAATGAAAATAAAATTGACTTTTGTGTGACTTTCAGGCAATGATACTTCATAAACGAAATCCTGACAAGTTTTGAGTAGTGTTAGAGCTAAAATAATTACCTGCGTAATGGGGGATTCCATTGGCATATATTTCTTGTGCCTGACCATTGGACTGTGACATCTGGAAACTAGCCACGGCAGTGGGGGACAGAACGCTTGGTGGTCCACCGTTCAGGGTGGGAGTACCTGATCGCGGGCAAAATTCAAAGTCTACATATCAGTATAAAACCCATTGCTAAGGTTAGTAAAGGGTTAGGTTTATTCAAATCGGGGAGTTTCTGTCTAAATTATTAAAATATTGTCATAAATAGCAACAAATGTATAAAACATTACAATATTCCCTGATGAAAATAATGTCTAGATATTAAATGTTATTTTTTTTAAACCCAAATGTACTACTCCCTGTATGAGTGCTGGCGAAACTCTACTGTAGCTTAAATTCAACATCCTCTTTTACAATTATTAAAACATGACAAAACGTCATTTTTGTGCACGTTCTATTTTTAGATGCATCGAATTATGTTCATTTTTAATTCTAGTTTTGTAAGACTTTTTTTCTTTAGACATGGAAATATTTATAACGTGCTGAATTTCGATAAATATTCATCAAGCAACAGTCGACAATCTTGTTCATCATGCTATTCAAATAGCTAGTAAACAGTATGATTAACTACATATTTTATATTTAACATTACAGTCTGATCAAACTGGTTGTTAATCGATATAACAGATTCTGATTTATGAAATACTAGCAGCCTATATCCTACACGGGTGATAATTTGGGTGATAAAACGCCTCAATACTCACCACTGGCTACAAGGGACGCGGTGGTGGGTGTCAGGGCTGCTGTGGAGATTCCATTAGGGGCCGTTAGTCCGCCGACCTGAGGGATGTGAGCTAGCGTTGTTACTGGGCTTGTCAGGTAAGGGCCCTGAGACGCGGCGGCCGCAACAATGGCCGCTTGTTGCTAAAAATAGAATCACAATTAAAAACAATTGTCGCTTAAATCATCAAAAACAAATCTGATCAGAAAAGTTCCTTAACATTTTTACTCAAATTTACAAAATAAAATTTCTTCTTTGTATGATCTGGGCCTAGTTTTCAATGTCTCTTTAGCATAACGAGTCAAGGATAACAGTGAAAAACTATAAAAGTGTGTTTTGATGACCATTTTTAAAACTTATAATAAAACTTTTTTGAAAACATACGGATTTAAAATTTCGTAAACTTAAATGCAACTATAATTATCAAATTTCTTTGTATTTCGAACTGTAAAAAATAACAAAATTTGCCAATGTATACAACGTAGCAAATAACATAATTAACCTTGACGTTCCTGACGCTGGTGATATACAAAAAATAAAGAAATAAAGAAACGTTCGAGATCCTCTGGAATTATCATATACTCACCTGTGCAATAGCACCATAAGCACCAATCTGTGATAGAGCGAAGGGATTGAGGAGACCAAGAGGGCCAGCCATCTGTTGCATCCTTCGGAGTTGTCGTTCCTTCTCTGTGTCAGCAAACTTGACTACAAGGCTTGAAGAGGCACCCTGCCAAATAATAACAAGTCATATAGTCAATGGCAAACCAATTATACATAAATATACGAGAGCATTTTGTGAGCCTTTTCTTAAAACATGATACTTCAAATGCTGGAGTATTTTAGCAGTATTTTGATAACTTGTTTGTTTCCCGACATGATCATGTTAAATAGAACAGAATTCAAAATGGATATCTCAACGAAATAATTTTTGCAATCTCGAAAACCATACAGGCATTTACCGCACAAAAGCTTAACACTAAAGAAAAAAAATGTTCAAAATGTGTCTATTTTAATCGCATGAAAAATAATGTGTTAGTATTTGATTGAACATTCTTTATACACGACTTATATCTTAAAAATGTCACTTATAGAAAAATAAAACCTGGTGATGTAGCTAGTACTAATAGATATATACTGGCTAAAATGGATCTCGCAAATGAAGCTCCTCGTTATGACTTAAATTTTATGGAACATACCTTATCTTGTTTTCATCTCCAAAGATGAATATTGTGTTTATCATTCAGTTTCGTATTTAACTATTTTATCAAAAGAAAAAAGAAATATTCAAGAACCGTAAAACATATTTTTAAAGGGAGATAACTCGTGAGTCATAATTTGGCTTTCGGCATTTTTAAACTTTCTCACTTGTGTTTTGTTATATTGCGTTAAAATTTCAAATTTGAGGACGGTACGTAGTTATCTCCCATGCATTGTATCTCAATATCATATTTTGTTTCTATTGCAATTTTCTTTCGGTTCATATTGTTATTTAATTTGAAACAAAGTTTTTCAATAAATGAATAAAACATTTAAAGAAAGAAAATCCTAGTTAACTCATTCACCCCTATTTTTATAAACTGGACTTGCCCTGTCCTTGATTTGGTAAGGTTCAAATTGGCACGTTAGGGGTGAATGGGTTAAGTATCCCGTGAGAATCAACCATAAGTTTCATGTATACCAAATTAAAATAGTACACGTTAAAATATTGAAAAGGCTCAAAAATATTCCATTCGTGTCGACCCGGCTACTCCGGGCGGTTTAGGTTAGGGAGCAAATTCTCTTCCAATTCGCTGACAGATCGAGAAGCAATATCGACAATGTGGTATATTTTCAGAATCATATGGTTGTTCCCTACGGTGACAGATTTCACGATATTGTAAGAGAATATAAGTTTGGTGATATTTACGGTTATGGTACTCACAGGCATCGTCTGGCTCCCGTGAAGGGCATTGATTGCTGATTGGGCCTCAGCATGGGAAGTATATTTCACAAACGCACAGCCTGATGAGAAATAAGAAACGATATGGTGAGTAAATGTTCTCGCAAATATTAGCACGCAATACAATGCCCAATATACCAATTTGAAATAATCGTATCCTACAAGCACACGAGTTTTATAGAGGAATTGACCGTTGGCCAGTACTTATTTGACCAATATGTATATATTATAGATATTTAGAAAATGCATGGAATTGAGAACCGTTGCCAACGCGAAAATGTTCACACGCAAATATTTCCAAATTACAGTTATAATAGATATGTTAACTAGTACTCCATGACCAGTTGAGGCCTCGATTATACTACTCTAACAGGAAAGAGAATAGTGTGCTTCCACCGGGGATCGAACCGTCGATCTCCAGGTACAATTAAAAACTGCAACACTACTCCGCCATTTTTAAATGTGTTCGACCTCGAACACCACAACCCAGGTTCTAACAGGGATGGCCACGGACACCATTTATAACCGAAAAAGGAATAGTGTGGTTCCAGCGGGGATCGAACTCACGATCTCCAGGTTCCTAATCGGACGCTCTACCACTGATCTAAAGAAAAATTCCCTCCAGCTCGAAGCGCGAAGGCGACCGAAATCCTATGTACAATTAAAATCTGCCACACTACTACTGAAGGGGCATACCTTTACTGTTTCCGTTCTGGTCCCGGAGGATGGTACACTCTTCAATTGAGCCAAAGGGCTGGAAAAGTTGTCGCACTTCGTCCTCAGACTGCTGTTTATTCAACATACCAACGAACAATTTTCTGTCTTCTGAAATATATGAATAGAAAACAAAAAAAAATGAGTTTGTTGGCATATACAGACATCGTGATGATATTACTGTCACATAATTATTTGATAATTCTAAGATGCTGTGAAATCGCTAAGTTTAGCGGAATCAAATTTTAGCGTATTATTGAATTTTAGCATATTATTGAATTTAAGCGTTATTATTGAAATTCTAAAAGTTAGCGCATTGAATAATTGGCATACTCAGAAAATTTGCAATAGCAAAAAAATAAACAGAAACTGCGATTATTGTAAATAGTCATTTTCAATATCTAATGCTCTAAAATTGCTAAAAAAAATAATAGTACCGCTAAACTATGACCATTTGCAGAATCAATAAATGGTTATATTTAGCAGGAACCGCATATTGTTGTTTTTGATTTGACTATCATAAAACTGTTATGTTAGACGTCATGCATCATTAGTGACCAGAGCTGGCAGATGGATCTTGTCTGGTCAATATGTTAGTTGTTTATTTGAAATGTTAAGTAGACTCTACCATGCATTGATCTGGGTGAGTCCATTGTGGTCCACAGTGGTGGAAGGACTAAAAGGTTTTACTGCTGTGCAATAATATATATTGCTTGCAAACTTTACTAAATCTTTTACTGAGTATAGATAAAGCCCATGCAAAATTTTGGAATGATCATATAGGCCGAATTTTGGCAATTAACAGGAGTTACTTATTAGTTTATAAGTTGATACAATATATATCCCAATAAATAGTATTGACAGCGGCGCTAACAAATTTCACAATGCACTGCCACGGTTATGTATCAATTTTACTACTTATAGTGATAGTTTCTTAACATGTTAAATCTGTTAGAAACATGATAAATATTATTAATGCTTTGCTTGGATTGTCTAAAGAATCCAGCCACATTCTTTTTCAACAAAAAGTGGCTAGATTGTTAGACAGTCGGATCACTGAGATTTTCTTTAATCAAAAAGGAAATAATTATGTCCCCTTAAACTGACTATGTATTGGAAGAACAGGACAAACGAAGGCAAATTGTAATATGTCTGTTACGTGCTGTGACTAGTACCACTGTCAGAAACATGTAGGCGTGTTATTTGGTTAACAAAGCTTTGTTAACAGTTTACACAATTTAAACAAATGACATATGTTCTTTTTTTCATAACATATCAAAAAGCATAAGTTGTTATAGAAACACGGTTGCCCTAAATAGAAACACTGGCTAAATATGGAACAGATTGTGATGTCACAAGTAACATGTGGTTCAGATGATGTATATTAAAATAGAATTTCAGTGCTGAAATAAATTCCGTATTTTTATGTTTTTATTACTGACTGGAATATTGATGTATGATGTACATAATGTAACAATGTATTCTTATAGTGTCTCATAAGCCGAGCTCGCCTTGGCATTCCATTTTGACGTACTCTACCTTTTTAAATGTCATTATCTAAACAGTGATATATTATTATGTAAACGATGCGTGACACTGAAATAAATAATTGATTGATTGATTGATTGACTGACTTCTCTATGAAAACAAAACCATTATATATTTTAATTGAACATAAACATAACGATCGGAACGGGTCGACGTGAAGAATTACAGGCGAAAATACATAGCCTCATCTTCACAATTTAGCGATATAACTACATGCCTTAGGTTTCATGGAATAAGTCAATAGCCACTACCAACAACAGTCTCTGATGTGATTCCACAGATCTCATTTCACTCTAGCCTCGGATGTCAGTAGATTTAATTTGAAGAAATGCCACTCCATTACAAGCATATGCGTGTATCTACACGTGGAATTAATCCCATGAAATAAAAAAAAAAAAGTTGGATCGAGTTTTATCGATCCTGAACGAAACTGGATGGTTGCAAATTGCCATATGTATCAAACAGAAATAGATTGGCTTTGGGATTAAAATGTCACAATATCCCTGTCGTGAAATAGACATGTTTATCAATGCTAGTCATGTGATGTCGAGTGTGATTTCCAGGGTAGGTATCTCATCACAATAATCATCCACATATATTAAACAACTGTGATATCCAAATATCACGACCACTTCTATTTTGCGAAGGGCTACAAAGGAAAATATTAAACTACGGCGAAAAAAAATCCCAAGTATGATATGATACAGCAATATTTGTAGAATCTAAAATATGTATCAGCGTATTTCTAAAAGAAAATAGATGAATCATGACAAACAGAAGTTGTAGTATTCACAGATGGATGAATATCACTATCATATTATTGCATGGAACAAAACAACTAGATGCGTACTAAAATACAAGGAGGAAGTACAGTTGAATTGAGACAAACAATTTGCTTTGTAAGCAAGGATCAGCGGATCAATGTGTATGAATAGTTTGCCTATTGGAATTAATCATATGTCATTGAACGTTTAGATCATCTTGCGGACAAATAATTGACTGCTCATATAAAACAAAATGTCAGAACCTAAATTAGTCATGAAGGTCACGTCCCTACACAATTGTTTGTTGGAAACCAGAACCCGCATGGACGCGTGTGCAAACCATATGTATCAACAAAACTGATGGTTCAATTAAAGAGCAGGATAAATGGCAACCGACAAACTTATAAATGATATTGAACGAGCGAGGCAACACAATATACATGCATGTGTTTCCTGTCTCCGACTGTCTCCAATTGTTTGCCCTAACCTGTAACTAACTTGTTTTGGGCCAAATTTCAATTAGCACCGTGAGAGTACTTCATTTATGTTCCGTTTCATTTATGTAAATAAGAAAAGTATGTTTCTACAAACTCATTTTTTACTGACAATGTCTTACATCCATAGTTAAAACTTGATAAAATATGTTCATCCCGGACAAAGGAAACTAATGAATAAATGTGCAAAAATAAAAATAAAAATAAAACATCTTGCCATTTGTATGAAGAAAAACTGACTCTGAATATATGAATTAAATCAATAAATTGATATTGTTAAAGTATGCAAATATTACTTAGTGTTACTAATAAACAGTTGATAAAACAAGCCTGTGTGATTTAAAAACAATATTGAATTGGCTCTGAATAAACGAATGAGTAAGAACATGGACTTCAGATAATTGAAATGACCTTCGGAAAATTGAAATGACCTTCGGAAAATCGAAACTAAGCCATCAAGTAATTTATAAAAAGAACAATAAAACAATTTCCCCGGGCTGGGCGAAACAACTTCATCAATAAACAAAACAAAAACGAAAACGTTGACTGAACATGTCATTTAACTAATGGTATACGATGATATCACCGGGTAGTAGAAAATCGGTAGACATATCAATATAATGATTACTGCATGAATAGATATGGCGTGTCTCTTTGTTCCGTCTTCGTCACCTACACAAATCAGGTATTGACAATCTAGCCTATACATTAAGTAAACACGGTGAGACAACAATAGAACGGTATCGAACAATGAGCATGCGATGACAGTATGACCACCATAAAAGATAACGGATATTTTAACCATATTCTTGATACATTGTAGAGTTCGTTGTTGATTGTGACAGCGGACCGTTTCACAAGAACGGAACGAGTAGAAAATGAATGTAAAATTAAAAAATTAACGTCTGGTTTTTTTTTGTTTTTTTTGTTTGTTTTTTTTTAAACATTTTCTTATATCCATTAAGTACTGTCAACGACGAAGTAATGAAGAAGAAGTGAGATGTTAAATAGTAGAATCCATAATTCGTGGAATAAGCGTGCAACTAAACCAGTGTATTTCCATAAAGCAGACTCGTCGCGTGGTCAAGAAAGTGTCATTTTGTTTCATGAATATGCTTACAAAACCATGTATGCACGTGCTTAGAGAATATAAAAAGCTAAAATCTCTATTACTTTTTCTCGGGGGCGAATTAATGAATGCAAATGCATCTTAATAAACGATTTTTATACACAATGCAAGTTGTCAGTTCACAAGTTTATCTTACAAAAATCACCCCCGTCTGGATGGCATGGAAAACACCCAGAGATAAAGTGAATTTCCAATAGACAATACAAGAACGGGAGAGGAGAAATCTGATAATGATATGGCGGTGGGCTTAATGATGAGTCACGTATCTGGGACACAGAAAGAGAGAGAGGGAGTCGGTGGTAGCTTTCTACTGGAATTCTCTCTACAATTTTATGAACCAATTAGGCGACAGAATCCCTTGAGGCGGAAAGAGCGAATGGAAGGCAAATGAATGAACTGAAATATCCGGCCAGGGCATAGCATTCCCCAGAGATCCCTTCTAACATGTGCCATGAATGTTTTGTCGTCGCAGAGTATCGACCATTATGCCTCCTGTGGAAAATCTAAATCATTACTGGCGAGGCCACCACTGTGAGAATTTATGTCAAATCTGATCCTGGTGTGATTCGCATTACTACTAGCCGTGTTTTCCCCGTCCATTGATGAAAAATATATTGAACGTTTATTTTTGTGTGTTATTATTTTATATTAAATGTACAGTAAAGATGCGTCAACGTACAGAATCAAATCAGAACGTGAAAAATTGACAGTAAAACTAATAGTCAAGAACTACAACTAAGGAAACACCCAAACATATGACAATATGGACACATCAAGCAACACAAATATCACAAAATGCATGACGAAAACTTTCAGAAATAGATCATGTATCACTAAAACAAATTTCCTCAAAAAGGCTGCAAAAATATTTCCACTCATATCCCCACGATGAAACCCAAAACAAAAAGCTTTAACATCCGAATCGTTCCTTACATATGAATAATGGATTATAAGCAGCCTGTTAATAATATCAGGGGGTCTCTTTTGTCACGCCTGTAGTACATGGCATCAACGTATGTCATTTTCCGTACTGCTGTGTAGTGTCTTTTATGAAATATTTATCACTCTGTCACAGTGTTATTAGCACCCCACGTGGACGTACTGGGAACAATAATGTGCATACTGCGGCACGGCATCCTGATAAAGCATATGTCTTAACCGAATCACCGGTACGTC